AACAGTAGTGTATAGGATTTCCTAAAGATGCTGAGCTTGTTGAATGGATTCAGTTCTTTGGTTCTGTCCAGACCTCCATCTGTCTGAGTATCCTGCTGCTGGAAGCCTGGGATCTTCTTCATCTCTGATATTCTTCTGCTGGAGATCGTTTTCCAGCCTCTTCCTCTTTGCCTGCTTGCTTCCTCTGGTCTTTACCTAAAGTTGCTTCTGTGTTATTAAATAATAAAAAGAGTCATTAGAAAATGCATTTCAAGGGAAGGCTAAATATGCAGCCCACCACCAAACTGGCAGGGAGAGAAAAAATGTGATTGCAGAACTTCTGGATAAAAGCATGTTTAGAGTGAGGGATTGCTGAAGAGTCAATGAGTTGCAATCAGCTGGTTTTCCTTAGAAAACTTTGAATCAATCTTACTGGATGATCTGGTGGATCTGGATCTATAAAGTGCCCTGAGATGACATGATGCGAATTGGAGCTATAGAAATTAACTGAATAGAACTGAACGAAATTAGAGGAGAGCAAAGATAGATTAAGGAAATAGGAACTCCACTACTGCTGCTAGTTTGGTTGAATCATAGAAAACTGTTCATAGATCCAACAGCTAGTGCTCTGATGCAGGGATGGAAACTTTCTAACATTTCTTCCCGAAATCCTAAAAAAAAAAAAAAACAATAAAAAAACTGCTTTGTTTATTGTGTTTCTATAATTTTATCAGTGTAATAAAACCTAATAGATTAATATTATAATGGAATTTAAACTGTAAGCAGAGTCACATGATGTGATGTTTGCTCCGGGATAAACTTTGGAACATGGATGTTTATTAGTGTGAAGAGTGAAGCTCAGGTAGGCCAGATACACTTAGAGCCCGTGTTGCCATACCAGGCGGATATTTTGGTCCAATATGGATTCCCGACCCTGAGCTGGAGGAAGAGAACACCTATTGGTTTAAAACTCCTCTCCGTGTTTTCCTGGTTTACGCAGCTTTTATTGCTCCTCCAACCAGAAAGAAGCAGAATCATGAAGGGCAGCTGGAATCAGGACAAGCTGTCCCTCTGTCCTCTCACTGTGTCCATCTCTACATCCTGACTGCTGCTCAGCTAAATAAACATTTAAGCGAAATCTACTGAGCTTTGCTTTGCTACCATTTTGTTCTTCTTCTTCTTTCTGTGATGTCAGCAGAAGTTTTTCTGCCTCTGCAGATTAGCTACCTGTGCGTCCTTCGCGCTGTGGGTCGGAGCGCCGGAACACAGCCGGACCAGAAGACCAGGATCAGGCAGTTGGTCAGCAGCACCATCCTCATCTTCCTGGTGTGCTTCTCACCATACCACGTCTTCCTGCTGGTGCGAACGCTCTTTGAGCGCGACTGCAGCTTTATAACAGGTGTGTTCTCGGTTCCAGGACCGCATGATGAGTCATGGAAGGTCCTTAACTCCTCTTTGGACTTTCCAGGGATCTTTAACTACTATCACCTGTCCCTTCTGCTGACCACGCTGAACTGTGTGGCAGACCCGGCCCTCTACTGTTTCGTCAGCGAAGGCGCCCGGCGAGGTCTCTACAGGGTCCTCGTCAGACCTCTGAGCAAGATCATCTTCTGCTGCTGTCGCCGAGGCAACGCCAGCCCCATCAACCCGGCCAGCGACTCCCATGAGGTGGCAACGGAGGAGAATAATGGCAATCCCGCCGTAACGCTGCTGAACCATACCTTCAGGCAGAACGCAGACGGAGACGTCATCCCCCTGAGCGTCAGGAAGGACTCCTGTCCCCAGGGCGATGAAGGAAGGAGCAGCTGTGTGGTTGGCTTGAAGGAGGACACCACCCAAGGCGCCGCTGAAGGTATGGGGAGGTAAGGACCATGGAGGCTGCAGAGGGACAGAAGAGAGACAGCTGGCCCACCTGGTCTCTGAATCTACCAGATGTTTACAGCTGGGTGGCGAAGATGTTCTCCTATAGCCCCACAGGAAGCCACCACAGAAAGCTGCTCTCCACTTCCTTCCTCTGTCGCTCCACACTGAGGCAAAGCTGCTAGACGGATCAGAACGGGCCTGGTCCTCATTTCATATCTGCTCTCTGTCACATCTGTTCATCAGTGTGGAGGTTCAGCCATGTGACCAGGTTCTGGTCCTGGAGATGATTGGTTCTGGAGCAGAGGGTGAATCTGGCACCGCTGTTGGAGACCAGAGCCCAGAAGGCTCCTGTGATGCTCCCGAGCTACTGATCCATTTGCTTTTATCTGAGCTCTGATTCTTCAAGATCTTCGGAAGTTCAATACCACCTGTGAGGCAGTTAGCTGAAGGAGCTAACCAGGCTCTATATGGGCCCTCTCTGAGCCCTAACTGGGCTATATCTGAGCTCTAACTTTGCTCTCTCTGAGCTCTAACTG